TACGCGCCTGGTAGCGCGCAGGAAAATGATCGAGCGGCTTCAAATCCATGGACCTGGAAAAATTAGCCATATCTCGGTTAATAATGAACCTATCGAGATTCTTTTTTTAATTTGTGGTAGCGCGAAAATTCATGAGCATTGAAGCTATGGTATTAACATTATTTCAACCAGAGATTTAATTTTTTATTTAGCCTCGCTCTTCCCACTCGTTCGCTGGACCGAGTAATAGAACACATCGCCGCTATCTTCTTTTTTGCAATTAAATAGTTGAATTCACCTCAATGTTAATGTAGGACCTGAAAATATAGCTCTTAATGTATACTCTCACCGAAATTTGAAGTGTCTTTTGTCTAACTTAACAGTTCTAAATATTTTCTATAATTTTTTTTCACAGTAAAAATTGTTGTAACGTCTTAGGTACTATTCAGCAGAATGACAGTAGAAAAATACGTTGATTCTAATGTGTGTAGATATCATGCTTCTTTTTCCTCTTACTTTTTTCTTTTTCTTTTTCCCTTTTATTTTTACAAGAACAACAACAAAGTTGGCATTGATTTAAAATATAGTGTTCTTTTATTTATTGATCTTTATCCCACTAAAACCTTGACTTGGATAAAAAAAAATTGTCTCAGCTTCCAATCAACTTAGAACAACGACTTTTTTTTTTAATTCGAAGAAAAATAGTACTAACTAAACTATAGACGTTAGTATTTCGTTTTATAATAATTACCTATCTTAACAATTTAATAAATATTAACATTTTTTCAGTCATTTTTGAACAAATTAAATTTGAAAAATTAAATTCTCTGTAAATGCATATGTCAATAGAACTATTTAGGTACAAAAACAACTAATGATGGAAACTCTACAACGTCTTTGAGCTTGGGAAAATCAAAATCAAAATAGCATCTTCTTAGATAACAAATTTCGCCAACGCCAAACTAATGAAGCTTTCGGGCTGAAATTTTTACCACTTATTAAGGATGCAAAAAGCCTAAAAAATCCTGAATTAGGTATAAGTGTCTGCGATGAATATTGCATTAATTAATAACAATTGAAGAAAACGGCCATTTTCGACCATTTTTGAGCTCTTGCGCATAAACAAATTATCGGAATTTAATCGGACTTATCTTATTTTACATATTTATTTAATACCCACATTTTTTGTATAAACCCTTTTTCTCTATGAATTACAGTTTTTTTACGCGAGTCAAGAAACCACTTTTCCATAACTTTGACCATTGTTTTAACAAAGTTTCCCAACTATTCTCGAGTTGATTTTTTGATATTTTGTTTATAACACGTTTCTGAACAATATTCCGCAAAAAAACTTTTCCCAAAAAAAAGCTATAATGACTGGCCTATAAATCATATTTTTCTAGTAGCAATTAGAAACTGGAATATATAAATTGTAATACCTACAATCGATTCCGTCCTCTTCAGCGTCTCGCTGAACGGGGCCATTTCTATTTTTTCACCTAACGCTTGCAAGTTTGTTTAAAGAGTAGGACACGTTCTATTGGGGTTGCCTATGGTTTACTTGACACCCTCACGATGGTACTCTCCTGAGGGATTTTGCATTGATTTGTTGTTGAGCCCTTTCTGTTTTGCGTTTGAAATTTTTTTGTCATTACCTTTATTTTTGAGCTATCAAGCACTTGTGTATTGGTCGCGGAACTGCTGTGAAATCTCGGCTAATTGAACATTAGATATGGATCAAGACCTGAGTCCACTTTCGAACAATTTATATTGAACATAAAAAGTTTATTGGATATTAAGTATTTGCGTTTAATATTACTTTAGAAAGCTAATAATTGTGCAACGTTTATTGGTCAGAAACTTAGTCTGGTGAACGATTTTTGGATGACCAGGGTTGACGTTCAATCGCAGCTGTTCATGACTCCACCACATTTCCATTGCCGAATTTCGGGCGCTTTTGGAACGGAGGCATTTCTGCCTTTACTGGTACGATCTTGATCACTCGCCGGAGATGACTCCGCTTTAGGTTTCAGCTACCTCGTACCTGCGGATAGTATATTTGGTAGTCGCTGAGCGGTTTCTGAGTACCTATTTCGGGTTGATTGTCCCAAAAATTCGAAACATCAACTCATACGATAGTATCTACTAATTATATTTCAGCCCATTATTTTCGGCAATCATTTATTCAGATCCCGTACAGGATATGCTACAATGTTACAAATTTAGATTTAATAAATTTTATGGCCATAGACTTCTTTTACCTCTTTCCACAATACCATTATTTTCTACACATAGTTTCGCGATTATTCTTACGACTAATGACTAAAATGTACTTGTATACTAAAAAGATATTTTCGAATAAGTTCTTATAAATTTTATCTTAAATTTTAATTCGCACAGAAACAACGTTGTCATAGAAATTGACAGAACTTTAGCACAGATGGGTATAGACACAAATGGTGTGAAAATTGATCGTTTACATTTAGGATAATTTTAACAATAACAAAATATTCCAGCAAATTGTTCTTTTCAAACCTTTCAACAATATGATACAATTCGTATCTGTTTCTAATCTATCTCCTAAGGAAAGGGCGTATTGTATTTTATATTAACACTAGATATGCCAATTTTTTTTCACATAAATATGCTCCAATAATTTCTTAACAGGAAGTACAAGAACAAGATATGATGCACCTGAGGCTAACATAATAAGATATTTTTATTGTGATGAAAATAAATTTCGATTATAAAATACGATTATTATAAATTCTTAGAATATCAATAAATAACGTGGATCAAACTCGTGTTTAATCAACCATAAAATTTCTCGGATAACAAGGCTGAGATTTATGCCAAGATGGCTAGCACAAATCTTTTAGGATACGAGTATGAATTCGTATCTCAAAAATAAGCAATCGAGTAAATTATTATATTTAATACAAAATGCAATAATATATGAAATACATTTACATAATATTAACTATTGCTTGTTGAATTGTAAGAATTGGAACTTAATTTTGATCTGGCAAAGAACGAAGATAAACCTTAAAACTTGGCCGAAAAAAATAGCAGCAGTAACCTAAGCCCACAAGTAGCTCTTTAAAATATTATTTGCTCTGTCGCTTTAAATTACGTTGCATGTCCGATTAATTATACACTTTCTGCATTGTAACGTTTTCTCTCATAAATATTCTTTTACCAAGTGTTTTTTCACGATAAAATGTATCGTTAAAACCCTTGCGACCCTCTCGGGAATCCCCTCTCTGGGGAATAACCAGTCATTTTTATTTTTGGATTGGTACAGAGTTCCAGGACGAATAAACATTGTTTTAATAAATTTATAAATAACTGCGAGGTTGCAACGTAATAAATATTAATTTTTTTTATAATAATATATACGACTGTCTACCACCGTACGTTAAACGACGCGCAACAAGACCAACAGGATTATCATCATTATGTAGACAGGTACGCGTACATATGTTGATAACTTTTTTTGGTTTTTATCCGTTAAACGTGTTTTAACTAACTAGTCGGTGGAGCTCGCGTTTTATAAACGTCCGCTCACAGTCGACAGTAGGTAAAATATTAGCGGGCGACTATTAAGCACCGAATTCCGCTCGTTGCAAATCTGTCCTCCGCAAATTAATATCCTGCAGATCGCACAATAAATTAATTGACGCCACAGCAGTATAAATTAAAGTTAGAAATATCAAATTTTGCCATTGTTTGCGTTGCTTGCTCGGACGCAATTTTCATATATACAAGGTGTGATGTAACCTTTAAAACTGTTAGTTGAAAAAAAAATTTTTCATCTATAGAGCGATGGGTATCTGTCGCAAAATTAAAACTTTCTATTTCTATTAAATTGTGTTTACAAACTTGGAAGTTATTTTTAGAGAATAACCCGATCTTATTTTATTAAACCACATGTGACAAAAATGAAAAAAGGAGATTAAATAATTTTTTATTTTAGTTAATAAAAAAGTGTAAACAATTTGAGAACTGCTGAAGTCGAGAGAGAATGACACTTCGTATTTTTAGGTGACACATCGCAGTAAGTGTTCAGTGTTGTCCTTTGTTTGTTCAATGTTGGCTAATTCGACCCTTTGACGATAAAAAAGGTCCAATTAAAAAAATGTTCCCAGTACCAGCAAAATTCTGCTACTTCTAGGCAGCTTCTACTAATGTAGGTTTTTAGCAATTGGTTTGTTGTTAAGATCTATCTTTCATTAAAAATAATTCTCCAAGGTAGTAAACAATCGACAAATTTATCTCTGTATAAACCTACATATAATTTCTTTATATACAAGGTGATTCACAACTCAATGGACATAGAACAGGTGCGTGTAGAGGACACCAAAACAAGTTACTGTCTGCAATGTCTAAGTTAAGTTCTGGATGCTATGCCCACTTTTGTGGTCTAGGTTTAAACTCGAACTGAAGTTCATCCTGCAGACTTGACATGACATTCCATTGTTTATCTGTCAAATCTAAAACTTAAACTACAGTTCGGGTTTAAACCTAAGTTATAAAAGTGGGTCTTAAAGTAGTAGTAGCATAGCCTACTCGCAATTATAAAACCACATATTTTTGTTCGATTTAATTGCATTTGACCCCTGTCACAAAATCGCAATTTTCTCAAAAACGGACGTGTTCTCAAAAAATTGACAAGAATAAAAAAAGTGTAAAATTGAGTTTGCTATTAAACTGGTAGACCTTAATTGTAAATTGATAGGGTTGAAAAATTCATAAAATTTTAATAGTTTCACTCATAAAATTGTCATTGTACAGAATAACAGAGTGCAATTTTCACTCAGTTCGAGTGGACAGAAATTAATACATTATTGCGAAGGGAGTAAAATTTCTCTTATTTTTTTTTTTACAGTGTATGTAATGGTGTATATATGTTTAATGTCTTGATTTCGACATTAAGTTCAAATAGACAACTAAATTTACAAGTTTCTCATATCGTGAGAAAGCATCATCTAATAATAGAAGAGATATCCTGCGGTACTTACCAGTTGTTGACTTGCAGTATCGTAAGGCCCGTGTCTTGCGCGAGTTGCTTTTTCTGGTCCTCCGAGGGGTACGGATGCTGAAAACAAAAAGAAAACGGTGATAAAATCGAGTCTGAACTGCCAGCTCATTCTTATATAGATCAAGATAAAAATAAGATTCATCGGGATTTAACCTCAAGCATGAGTCTCACATTTATTGATGGCCCCTCTTTTTACAGGTTTAATATCCCTTTAAGTGCAGTGCACGAACTATGGAATTAATGCGACAGAGCCGCTTAAAAAATCCTGGGTTGGTTTCTTTGCGTAATCGGTTGTCAGACTGTTCTTTTTTTAATTTTTTCAAATCCGCGTGCTTATAAATGATTTGTTTATAAAAAAATGACTTAGACGTTATCCTTAAAAAAATCATGGGTATTTTTGTCTTTGGCAATAGTTTTGTTCAAAAATAATACTAGATATGTGCACTGCAGAGATGCAACCACCAACCATGTTTTTTCTTGTGGTTTATAAGTCTATCTTCAATATTAACGAAGACCATAAGAAAGTCTTTAGTAACAGAGATAAACTTATTCAACATTACATTTCTGTAATATCTACTCTAAGAAAGTATTACAACATAACATGTAAAATATACAGGGTGTTCCACATATCTAGAAGGTGATGCTCAACTGTTCTTTTGATAAAAGCGGTGAATTTTTCGTCAAAAACTAATGAAAAAATCATCAATCCCACATTTTCAAAGACAACGAAGTTACAGACCAATCTAATGTTTTCCTGTGACGATCCCGCACAAAAGTGACATCAGTCGGGTTTGACACTTTCTAAAAAATGTAAAAATTGGCATTTTTTTCAAAAAGTTTCAAGACCATTAAAAGGATAACTTTTTTTTATTTATGAATTTTTCAGTCATCAATTTTTCTCCCTCTAGTAAATCTTTCCATTTTTTTTCTCTTAAATGAATTGTGATTAAATATTGTTTTAAGAGAAAAAAAATAAACAGTTTATTGAAAATGTAGAAAATTATATCATAAACTGAATAAAAAAATTTCCTGCACATTGTAACTTGAACTAATATTTTTTAATTTTCTAAAACTTATACATTTTAACTATAAACATTAAAATAGGCTGTAATTCTACCTGTAAACGGTTTTATTGCAAAAATTTATATTAACTAAAAAAATAATATAAATAACATTTCTTTCTTCGTTTTGAGTTTGTATTATACGAGTAGTTTAAGAAACAATCTGTTTGGAAAGGAAAATGGATGATAAAACTATTTCCAATTTGGAGCAGACATTTTGGGTATCCAAATGTTTTGGCATGCTTAGTGACGCAAAAAAAACATATAAAGTCAAAAACATTAAAACATTAATTTTAACCACGTATTTCGCCGGCGGATTACAAAGCGTTCGAACGTTGAAGCGAAACAGCTAATTTCCCCAGTCGTCTTGAACTTTGCAATTGGTTTCAAAATCAAAGTGCATCGGATTCTAACTTTAATAACAAAGTACTATAGACGCATGAGTGAGTGTTTTTTAGCCGTACTGTCATTTTAAATAGATAGGTACCATACTACTCTTTGAAAAGCAATAAGTCGCACAATAAGGTATACGTACTGCAAACTGAATAACTAATTGAGCATAATACTATAACCTCGTATTCAATTATAAAACATGTGAAAACATTAACAATATTAAAAATATTAAATAACCTAACTTCGATAACAATTATTATCATTATACATTTGTTTTTATTAACGAATAAATATTTAAAATGTCGTTAATTATTAAAAACACAGTAAATGATAGGTTAGTGACCTAATACGGTAAGTCAAGACTCTCGAAAATTCACCTTTGCAGGTCAGCGGACAGGGGCGGTCCCAAAAGAGGTTTAAATAATGATTTGAAAATATTTTTTTCAGAGTAAATATGCATTTAATTTTTTTAATCACGTATTCGTATTCTACTCATTTTTCCCTATCTTCTATATTAATGATATTATGACTGAATCACCCTGTGTATAACAAGTATGCTTTTGTCCTTCAATGTTTTATCGATATCTAAATGTTTGACAGAAAAGCAATTCAAGATGCCGATTCTCTGTATAGGCTGTTTTTTACAATAAATGTTATAATATTAACTATATAAATTATATAGAGGTATTTCTATAAATCAAATATATGTGATGATGTAATTATAAAAAATAATAGGTATATTAATTAATGTGATTAAGATCTATTATATACTTAAAGGTACTTCGGTCTTGATTTTTTACACCGATAATATTGTATTAGTGCAAATTTTATGTGAATGAGATAGTAACCAAAAAAGGTTGCATGAATAAATTACATATTTCAGTAAATAATTTATATTTGATAGATTTTTCTATTTATATTTTTAATTATGTCAAATTTTAAACTACGATAGTTTAGTTTAGATCAATACTATGCATTCTTTGTAACGGTTATATTTTAGATAAAACAAAAATAACAGAATTTCTTCTATGTGTTTCTTGGGGTATTCTATATTAAAATAATGGTAAAGCCTGCAAAGTCTAGAGTTTTAAAACATTTCAATTAACTTTTGAATTAATTGAATTTTATTATACTATGTTGTAGATTATAACAGAAATTTTGATCAAACTTTTCGTAACAAAACCGAGATCCTTGAGCGGCTGTTATCGACGTTGCCACCCTATATTTCTACCTCTACCGGCGTAAAAAGTGACGTCGTATATTTGGTACCAACTTGGAATTATTAATTAAAAAACGCCTAGCGCCTTGCCGTTACGTAATTGTTCCCGCGTGACCTGACTAGGAAAACTCTTCCCATCCACCATAAATCTAACCAAATCTCCTCGTTTACATTCCCGATTCGAGGACGCGCCCGCTCCCCGTCGCGTGCCGATACAATATTCGGCCGAATATCGAAAAACCCGGTAAAGTTATTTGTACCCCCTGGCTTTAACGGTTATTTCTGTATATGTACGTCTGCAGCGAAACGAAAAAACTAGTCTTTCCGGCTACGAGATTTCATTTCCGGAGTGGTTGCATCTGAGGCTATATTTCCGGCGCCGTTATCCCGGTTTATCCACGGGGGAGTTTAGTCGTCGACATGTGTCCTACTTACAGCAGCCGGCTCGGGATCCTGCAGGATTTGAGTCCACATTAGGCCGGACCCCAACTTATTATAATCGACTAGAATCCGGAACGGGAAAAACTTGATAAGAAGAAATACCCAAGGAAATATAACATAATACGTACAACTATATTGTAAATTATTACCAATAAGTCCGCGATAAACTAACAGTCATATGGAAAAAGCAGGTGAAAGCATCATGTCATGAAAAGTTGCGACTGCAAATTTAAAAGTAACAAATGATGTTTCAGAAAAACATATTTTTATTATTAGCTTTCACATTAGTTCACTCTATTTTAAAGGAATCAAATGAAGTCAAACAATATTCTTGGATACCAGAAATTTAGGCATGCAGAAGATCTAACTCCACAAATACGGAAAATAATTACACTATGGCCATATGGCCCCAAGTAGTTTTGGATTACACCACGCTAATACTCATTAAACAACTATTAATAAAATTATCGGAAATTAAATTTGGTTTGGTTGACCGGTTAAAAAAATATGTTTTGAATTACCTAAATAATACGGCGAAACTAGCGCCCTCTAGGAGCAACGTCAAAATAAGCTTCAAATTCGTAATTATCACACCAAAAAACCCAATACTACCAATTTTCAGAGTCATGCTATTAAAACTTTTTGAATTATTGAGAAATTTCAAAATAAAATTTAAACCTTCAACACCCTGTATTTCTTAAACCAGTGACATTCGTATAAGGCATGATGAACTAAAACATAATATTTTGGTGTCTAGTATCTCCAGCTTATTGTTGACCCATTCTTTCTGACTCACCCTGTATAAAAACAGAAAATATTAACTTTTAAAAAGAATAAAAAAACAAAAAATTTCAAAAAATATAAATGTTTAGCAAGACATACTCGTATTTACTTGGCGTATTCAAGCAGAAGAGAAATGGAGGAATAGTAGAAGAAGCTGGAATACGTAGAGGTTTAATTCAAAATATATCTGGAAAATATTTTAATAAATATTTTTTCAAGTGTTCTTTTCGAATTTCTTCGATTATTCCCTTTTTTCTAATATTTTGCTTTGGAAAAAAACAGAATGAAAATGATTTTTTTCAACAATTTTTTGGGTTATTTTTTTCGAATCTTTCTCCTATACTACATTTAGCTGAAATTTGATATCTTTTTCTGTGTTTTTCTTTGGAATATCTCCGTTTGTTGTTTTACACTTTCCAATAAATATCATTCACACTCTGCACAATAAATACTCAACTACAGGACAGGACAATACAGGGTAGGAAAGGACCGATGGTCTATCTGAAGTTACGTGAGAGCGATAAAGTAAGCCACAGAAATCCATGCGATAGAGAAGGATGGCTATAATGAAGACGTCTCATAGTCACCGCCCGTTTCGCTCTTCCACAAATAAGATCCACTTCTTATTTGTGGAAGGGCGAAATGGGCGGTGACTGTTAGATGCCTTCACTATACCCATCCTTGTCTATTTCATTGATTTCTATGGCTTACTTTATCGCTCTCACGTAACTTCAGATAGACCATCGGTACTTTCCTACCCTGTATACAGCTTTATTAGATATCAAAAAATAAATCATTGCTATCAATATTATTTTTACGATAGACTGGAAAGTTGGAGCAGTAACTTTTTTTCAATGAATTTCAAGTTTAAACATGGGAAAACATATCAGTTTAATGACGTCATTCATTAAAAAATCCTGTTTCGTGTTGTACGAATGGTAAAAACACACACACACAACTTCATCCTATGCACATTTAAGCCATATTACAAATCTCATATTCTAAATTACAGTAATTGTGTATGAAAAAAACAAATGCAAACTAGAAACAGTTTAAAAAGATTAAAAAAACCAAAACACGTAAAAACTTAACAAACGTTTACCAAGACATACTCGTATTTACTTGGCGTATTCAAGAAGAAGAAATGAAGGATTAATAGA